TACTCTCGTTAGCACTGTATGAGAGGTAGCTTTTTATCGTTGATACTAGCCCTACATTTCTCACTGAATCGATAGTAACACCATTCAGTTCATACCTTATTTTTCTGAAGAGAAAACTCATGGCGTTATTGATGAATCTGAGTTTATCGATAGGGCTGCCATCTGCTTTTGTTAAAAGTCCTTCAATATACAAGTAACTTTGACATGGAAGAGTATACAAATCCAAAGTAGAAACTTGAATTCTCACTTCATCATTGTAATCAATTTTTTGTGTGAATGGTTGATACGAATGATATTCTATTTCCTGAACTGATTGGTCTATGAGCGGTTGTTGATGTATATTCAAAATATCCATCATACCAGAACTGTAAACCCTAAAGACTTGAGGAATAGACGATTAGAAGACGTTAACTTCTTGGTGTTTTTTCTGATACTGGATGTTTTTCGCAAGGGTTTCACCTCCTTATAGAAGGACTGATATGGATAGAATATTCTATTATATCTGATAACCATTCAGGCTTCTAAAGTTTTTTCAAGTGAAGACTTACGGTTATTGTTATCCAAATTAAGATATTTGACAACTTGTCAGAATTATTAGGGAAACAGTAGATGATTGTTTTCTAGTTGCTCATAGACACCTTCGTGTTCATGTTTAATACAGGGTGATGAAATGTTGGGAAGTTTACAACATCCTCCCCCCCATGAAGCGTATAAGCACAGCATAAGCTTCATAATGATTCGAAAGGTAAGGGGCATAATTTGGTGATACAATCCCTTGTTTGTTTTAATTTTAACAACTCGAACTCTATTATCAGATCCCGGTTTTATCTCAACTATCCTAGCCAAAACCCATTCTAGAGGGGGTACATTATCTTCTTTTACCAAAACTATCATATTTTCTTTGAGATTTTCGGATGATTTCATCCATTTAGGACGGTGTTGCAATCTATTCAGATATTCCAGTAACCATTTCTTCCAAGAATGGTTACGTAATTTACTGCATTGCTTCCACATTTTCAAACGATTATCGGAAATATTTGAGACATTTTTTTCTGGAAAAGCTGTGAGAGAATCTCCTATGAGGAAATGGGCTGGTGTAAGAACACTTAATTCTGAAGGATCGGACGATAATGGGCGAAGAGGTCTAGAATTGAGTATGGCTTCTGTTTGTGCTAGAAGGGTAGTCAAATGTTCGAAAGTTAAAATAGTTTTACCTAAGGTCCGTTTGAGATGAAATTTTGTTGATTTTATTCCTGCCTCCTAAAGTCCACCCCAGTGGGGACTGTTGGGTGGTATGAATTTCCAGGTGATTTCTCTAGTTGAGAGAAAATTGTGAATTGAATTTTCTAGTTTTTTGAAAAATGTATAAATATCGTGGAGTGAGTTACTTGCTCCTTGTAAGTTCATTGCATTATCACTAATAATTGAAAGGGGGTGTCCACGTCTTGCAATGAAACGCTTCAACGTCAGCAGAAACATGTCTGTGGAATCGCCTTGGTGTTCATACAGACAAATAGAGCAATATATGATTAAGTGATCCTGGTTTTGCGCAGTTTTGATTCTTTCACCATAATTGGTCCACCGAAATCGATACCAACATTGAAAAATGCTCTCGTGGGAGAGACACGTTCTAGGGGAAGCACACCCATGAGCTGTTGGACATGTCTAGCTTTGAAACGATGACATCTCACACAATCTTTAATGACCTTCTTGATATGTCGTAAACCATTCATGGGCCAGAATCGTAACCTAAGATTACACAATACATTTTGTGGTCCAGCGTGATTGAGGCGTATATGTTCATTTCTGATGATCAGTGTGACAAAGTAATCTTTGGAGGGCAATAATATAGGATGTTTTTGAGAGATCGGTAGAAGTGCTTCATCAAGCCTCCCACCTACACGTAGTATGCCTTCTTTATCCAAAAAAGGTGTTAAAGGCAAAATAGAACAATCACTGGGTAGAGTTTTATTGTGAGAAAGAAGAGCAATTTCCTTTGAGAAGTATTGTACTTGAATCATTTTCACAATGACCGCTAGAGAAAAATAATATGAACAAGGGATAGTACTGATCTTTGTTCTGGTAGAGACAAGGGATTTTCAATTGGTGCGGGTTGATCAAAATCACTACTGATATCTGAAAGAAATTTTGGTCCAGACCACCACATTTCGCAATTAATCAATGATGATGGAGATAAACCTCGTGATATGTGATCAGCAGGATTTTCTAACGAAGCAACATGTCGCCATTTAGCATTTATGGTTAGTTCTTGGATTTCAGCAACTCGGTTTGCGACAAAAATTGTCCATCTAGTAGGAGAATTAGTGATCCAACAGAAAGTTATCTGAGAATCTGTCCAGAGAACGACCTTGGAAATTTTATGAGTCAGTATGGACAGAATTTTGTGAGTTAGTCTGGCCAACAAAAGGGCACCAGACAGTTCCAATTTAGGGAGGGAAATAGTTTTCAATGGGGCAACTCTGGATTTGGAACAAATTAATTTCGATAGAACCTTATTCGAATATACAGGGTGTCCGAAGATAAAACCGACAAAACTCATAGGGTTATAGGGTCTGTCAATATGATTGCAAAATGCCATAAACGAATGTCTTAAACCGCTTCGTTACTGAGATACAGAGTGATTTGTGGATTTTGACAAAAAATTCAATCCGCCATATCAAATACAGGGATTAACCAATTAGATTCAAATTTGGTACACGAATTACACTGAAGAACATCAACAAGTAGCCCTTTGATCGAAACCAATATCAGGACCGGAATAATATTTTTCCCTTATGTTGAGTTATGGTAAGAATAACTTACCCCCGTAATAATAACCGAAAATTTCAACCCAGAATCGAAATCTACGGTGAAAATAGTATAGGAATTTGTTGAAAAATCTCCTGGCACTATCTTAGTTATTCCGTAATTAATTATTGTTTTCATTAAAAAATCAATTATTGTCGGATAAAGTACCATGAAAATTGGTAATATAATAAATATTTAGGAAACCATGACATGAATGTCGTTATTTTCTTCAATCAGTTCATAAATCGGAGTAAAATGAAATATTCTCATAACCCGAAAAAACTGAAGAATAAATTCGTATCAGGACTGGAATGAGTTTTTTGTTTGTTTATGTTAGCTGACCTAGTACATCAATAGTTATCAAATATCTGATCGTAGATTCGGCATCTAAAAAAATCGTATAAGAACCTGTTGAAAAAGGATAAGAGTGAAGTTTTCGTAAATTATATTCACTCATTAATGAATTTGAATTTATGAACATACTACACAACGAACAATAACTGTTCGTAATGAACATAACAAAACCACTACCAAGTATAAAATATTTTCGAAGTGGAGCCCTCCAGCATCAATACATTTTTGATAGCGTGCTAGTAGATGATTCACTGACTTGCGAATTATTTGAGGCCTTGAGGGTTATTTCTAACACTAACTCAGGCAGCAGTAATTTTACCTAATGAATTTTCTCTAATTCAAATTTCGTCATTATGAACTTCTTACTTCAAATGACCTCATGAAAAATAACCTAGCTGAGTTAGATCAGGGAAGAGCGGTGGCCAATTTACTGAACCTCCACGGCCAATCCATCTATTGGGGTAGTTGGCATCGAGATGGTTTCTAACTGGAACTGAAACCACATACCCCAGGTATTTACACCTTGCAATAGATCCGGTCAAGTATTGACCAGGAAATTTAGGTAAACATCACCAGTTAATGTCCATACACAAATAGAATATCTGCGTATTCCTCATTAGTGAAATGAAACGGCATCATAAACACACTCTCAGAAATATAGTTTGATCCTAAAAACACTGGAATAATGACGCTTCGCGTCGGGCAGTAAACTACATCCTGCGGGAGGAAAAGTGGCACTTTCCTCCCTAGTAATACAAATAGCTATTTTTAGCCAGTTCATATGAATTCCCCAGATTCAATGAGTAAATGTCAGATTTCAGAGGTAGATACACCTGAAAGTGTCCATTTTCTGTGCGTCGTGTTGTTGAAGAGACTATATTTTCACAAATTCGATCTTCCTGAGAAAAAATGCGTTTATTAGATATTTCCTCAAGCTGCCAAAATTTGGGTATCAGTTCATTCATTTCTTGGGTATGTGAAAATAACGTGAGACTTATGTTACAAATCTGTTGAAGTGGTATCGGGCCACCTAAAAGCCATCCTAATTTACTAAAAAGTAAAACTGGTAAATTATTTCCTAATCTTATCAATCCAGGTTCGATCAATTCATAATACAGATCTGCTCCAATCAGGATATCAATTTGACCAGGAATATCAAAATGTTTGTCAGCCATAAACAAATCAGTCGGAATATTTAAACGAGAAATATCTATACGAGTTTGAGGAAGAGGGCAAGTAATTTTTTTGAGAACGGCACACTTAGCCTTTACCTGAAATTAAATTGGCTCCTGAGATTCTATAATAACATTCACAATTTCATTGACAATTATTGTAGTGTCTTGGGATATTCCTGAAACCTGTACATGACCTTGCTGAGTTTTAGTCTTCAAACGTTTTCTGAAGTAATGAACGTAGTCTGTGATGCAGAATCTAAGAGCGCGCGAGCTGTTATCTTTGTTCCCGAATCGGAAATCAGATTCACACAGTTGAAGCACAATTCATTTTTTGTCACAACATTTCTTTTTTGTTGTATAGATAGTGAACTGAATTGTGAGCATTTATAAATCGAGTGATTTTTTCCCTCGCAATATATGCATGATTGAACTATCGTTCCCTATCAACAATTTGTGATTCATCTCTGTCTTCAATGTCATCCTGTATCGAACAATAATCATTGAATGTCTTAATTAACATGTTTTCTCTGATAACCAATTCATTACTATTGAGATTTTCCCAATTTTCAATTGCAGGAGCGAAGTTCGCATACCACAAAACCCAAATCAATTTATTAATTTCCAAGATGAATAATCTTCCATAAACACAACAACCCGCTGCAGAAGCAGCTCCCATCGCTCGTGTTTACAGGGGAAACCCCGCAAACCAACGCGATCCCAGCGCTAAGAATACTTGGCGTTCCCGCCCAGCCCCAAAACCTGGCGGCCAAAACCCCAAACCAAGCGTACCCAGTGCGCTTCCACCCCCCACGCAACTCCACAACACTGCCAAAGTGCAGATGTCAAGTGGAAGCCCGTCTGACGGATCAGTGTTTGCGACAGGCATCACTGTGCGAGAGACTGTCCAGAGACAGACTTTCAGCCCGTCCACCCCCGCCGCCATTGATATTTCGCGTCAAACGTACGCTGAATTGATCACTGACGACCCCCAGTTATCTAAAGTACTTCTCTCAGAGTACTTGGATTACTACACCACCGCCCTGATCTAGATGAGGATAGTCCACCTCAAACAACGCAACAGTCAGGCCCTAACCATTGCAGAACAAGACCTTCTGACTCTGGTTCAAACAACATCGTTCTGTGTCCCAGAACCACTGAACCTACAGGTTCGCCAACTAGGTAATGTTGTCACTGCAACAAAACAACATCTCTACCCTGAATTTCCACCTCTACCAGAAGTGGTCATTTATGATAGATCCGGGTACTACGGTGCCTTGATTCTACCCCCCCTGCCGATGAAGTCCTTCAGCACAATCTCTACGAAGAGATTCCCTGCTTAGGAGTAACATCCGAAGCAGTATGTCAAGCCATCTCAGATGCACCCCCCGGACGTTACGCGTCCGTCCTTGACATCGATCCTATTCATCCAGTGAATGAAAATTTACTGGGTTTTAGGCCCCTCGGTGCTCGCCGAGCAGAAGCTAAGAATTTAGCATTCTCCAATGGCATATTGCAGAAAATGCCTTCCCCGCATATCCTGTCAACACAGGATTTTGCTTTGAGTTCCTCCAAGCAGTGTCTAGTGCTTTAGCAAGTACACGGACATTCAAGAACACAGACATCGTGTTCTCCACTCTCGCTGAAGCGGGAGCCCAATCACAAACAGTGATTTCCCGGCCCATAACTCAGGCCAACCATCCCAATATCAGAGGAGAGCAAAGACCTACCTCCCTGACCCAAGAGCAACCAGCCGTTTACGGCTCCGCCATCTTCTTCGACTCACAGTTGATGAAAGAACCCGGCCCCAACAAAAACCATGCAACGTGGTGTTGCATCAATTTTCCACCAGAACAAATTCCAGTAGCCTGGAATCAAAATCGCAATGCAAGGAGAAATCTTCCAATTGCGTGCATGCAGCAAACCTTCCAAGTTGTATCCCTTAATGGACTCATCCATCGGATGAATGTCATTAAGAGCCTAGTCTTAGGCAAGCGTTAGAAAAACGCTCCCATCAGTAGTAAACCAAAAACACAGAAACCCAATTTTACTACTTGATCCCACTGATAGTTTACTATCCCCAAAAATAATATTTTCACTTAACACCAATTGACAGACGAACGACTGGGTGAAATTGGCGGTTGCGCAAGCGGGTTTGAATCGGCGCTAGCGATATCAATTTCATGAAATGTTTGTTTATTAGAAGAGCTCTCTGTGGAAATTGAATTTGCTTGAGGAGATTGTCTATCATTAATGAGAGTTGGGGTTTCATGTAGCAACGTGTGATGTCTACCTGAACATGACCTACACCTATCTGAAGCACATTGATTCACAGTGTGTTTTGTGCCCAAATAGTTGAAGCACAATTTATTTTTTGTGATAAAATTTCTTTTTTGTTGTATAGATAGTGAACTGAATTGTGAGCATTTATAAATCGAGTGATTTTTTCCCTTGCAATATATGCATGATTGAACTATCGTTCCCTATCAACAATTTGTGATTCATCTCTGTCTTCAATGTCATCCTGTATCGAACAATAATCATTGAATGCCTTAATTAACATGTATTCTCTGATAACAAATTCATTACTATTGAGATTTTCCCAATTTTCAATTGCAGGAGCGAAGTTCGCATACCACAAAACCCAAATCAATTTATTGCTTTCCAAGATGAATAATCTTCCACAAACACAACAACCCGCTGCAGAAGCAGCCCTCATCGCTCGTGTTTACAGGGGAAACCCCGCAAACCAACGCGATCCCAGCGCTAAGAATACTTGGCGTTTCCGCCCAGCCCCAAAACCTGGCGGCCAAAACCCCAAACCAAGCGTACCCAGTGCGCTTCCACCCCCCACGCAACTCCACAACACTGCCAAAGTGCAGATGTCAAGTGGAAGCCCGTCCGACGGATCAGTGTTTGCAACAGGCATCACTGTGCGAGAGACTGTCCAGAGACAGACTTTCAGCCCGTCCACCCCCGCCGCCATTGATATTTCGCGTCAAACGTACGCTGAACTGATCACTGACGACCCCCAGTTATCTGAAGTACTTCTCCCAGAGTACTTGGATTACTACACCACCGCCCTGATCTGGATGAGGATAGTCCACCTCAAACAACGCAACAGTCAGGCCCTAACCATTGCAGAACAAGACCTTCTGGCTCTGGTTCAAACAACATCGTTCTGTGTCCCAGAACCACTGAACCTAGAGGTTCGCCAACTAGGGAATGTTGTCACCGCAACAAAACAACATCTCTACCCCGAATTTCCACCTCTACCAGAAGTGGTCATTTATGATAGATTCGGGTACTACGGTGCCTTGATTCTACCCCCCCTGCCGATGAAGCCCTTCGGCACAATCTCTACGAAGAGATTCCCTGCTTAGGAGTAACATCCGAAGCAGTATGTCGAGCCATCTCAGATGCACCCCCCGGACGTTACGCGTCCGTCCTTGACATCGATCCTATTCATCCAGTGAATGGAAATTTACTGGGTTTTAGGCCCCTCGGTGCTCGCCGAGCAGAAGCTAAGAATTTAGCATTCTCCAATGGCATATTGCAGAAAATGCCTTCACACACAGACATCGTGTTCTCCACTCTCGCTGAAGCGGGAGCCCAATCACAAACAGTGATTTCCCGGCCCATAACTCAGGCCAACCATCCCAATATCAGAGGAGAGCAAAGACCTACCTCCCTGACCCAAGAGCAACCAGCCGTTTACGGCTCCGCCATCTTCTTCGACTCACAGTTGATGAAAGAACCCGGCCCCAACAACAACCATGCAACGTGGTGTTGCATCAATTTTCCACCAGAACAAATTCCAGTAGCCTGGAATCAAAATCGCAATGCAAGGAGAAATCTTCCAATTGCGTGCATGCAGCAAACCTTCCAAGTTGTATCCCTTAATGGACTCACCCATCGGATGAATGTCATTAAGAGCCTAGTCTTAGGCAAGCGTTAGAAAAACGCTCCCATCAGTAGTAAACCAAAAACGCAGAAACCCAATTTAACTACTTGATCCCACTGATAGTTTACTATCCCCAAAAATAATATTTTCACTTAACACCAATTGACAGACGAACGACTGGGTGAAATTGGCGGTTGCGCAAGCGGGTTTGAATCGGCGCTAGCGATATCATTTTCATGAAATGTTTGTTTATTAGAAGAGCTCTCTGTGGGAATTGAATTTGCTTGAGGAGATTGTCTTTCATTATTGAGAGTTGGGGTTTCATGTAGCAACGTGTGATGTCTACCTGAACATGACCTACACCTATCTGAAGCACATTGATTCACAGTGTGTTTTGTGCCCAAATAGTTGAAGCACAATTTATTTTTTGTGATGAAATTTCTTTTTTGTTGTATAGATAGTGAACTGAATTGTGAGCATTTATAAATCGAGTGATTTTTTCCCTTGCAATATATGCATGATTGAACTATCGTACCCTATCAACAATTTTGATTCATCTCTGTCTTCAATGTCATCCTGTATCGAACAATAATCATTGAATGCCTTAATTAACATGTATTCTCTGATAACAAATTCATTACTATTGAGATTTTCCCAATTTTCAATTGCAGGAGCGAAGTTCGTATACCACAAAACCCAAATCAATTTATTGCTTTCCAAGATGAATAATCTTCCACAAACACAACAACCCGCTGCAGAAGCAGCCCTCATCGCTCGTGTTTAAAGGGGAAACCCCGCAAACCAACGCGATCCCAGCGCTAAGAATACTTGGCGTTTACGCCCAGCCTCAAAACCTGGCGACCAAAACCCCAAACCAAGCGTACCCAGTGCGCTTCCACCCCCCACGCAACTCCACAACACTGCCAAAGTGCAGATGTCAAGTGGAAGCCCGTCCGACGGATCAGTGTTTGCGACAGGCATCACTGTGCGAGAGACTGTCCAGAGACAGACTTTCAGCCCGTCCACTCCCACCGCCATTGATATTTCGCGTCAAACGTACGCTGAATTGATCACTGACGACCCCCAGTTATCTAAAGTACTTCTCCCAGAGTACTTGGATTACTACACCACCGCCCTGATCTAGATGAGGATAGTCCACCTCAAACAACGCAACAGTCAGGCCCTAACCATTGCAGAACAAGACCTTCTGACTCTGGTTCAAACAACATCGTTCTGTGTCCCAGAACCACTGAACCTACAGGTTCGCCCACTAGGTAATGTTGTCACTGCAACGAAACAACATCTCTACCCTGAATTTCCACCTCTACCACAAGTGGTAATTTATGATAGATCCGGGTACTACGGTGCCTTGATTCTACTCCCCCTGCCGATGAAGCCCTTCAGCACAATCTCTACGAAGAGATTCCCTGCTTAGGAGTAACATCCGAAGCAGTATGTCAAGCCATCTCAGATGCACCCCCCGGACGTTACGCGTCCGTCCTTGACATCGATCCTATTCATCCAGTGAATGAAAATTTACTGGGTTTTAGGCCCCTCGGTGCTCGCCGAGCAGAAGCAAAGAATTAAGCATTCTCCAATGGCATATTGCAGAAAATGCCTTCCCCGCATATCCTGTCAACACAGGATTTTGCTTTGAGTTCCTCCAAGCAGTGTCTAGTGCTTTAGCAAGTACACGGACATTCAAGAACACAGACATCGTGTTCTCCACTCTCGCTGAAGCGGGAGCCCAATCACAAACAGTGATTTCCCGGCCCATAACTCAGGCCAACCATCCCAATATCAGAGGAGAGCAAAGACCTACCTCCCTGACCCAAGAGCAACCAGCCGTTTACGGCTCCGCCATCTTCTTCGACTCACAGTTGATGAAAGAACCCAGCCCCAACAACAACCATGCAACGTGGTGTTGCATCAATTTTCCACCAGAACAAATTCCAGTAGCCTGGAATCAAAATCGCAATGCAAGGAGAAATCTTCCAATTGCGTGCATGCAGCAAACCTTTCAAGTTGTATCCCTTAATGGACTCACCCATCGGATGAACGTCATTAGGAGCCTAGTCTTAGGCAAGCGTTAGAAAAACGCTCCCATCAGTAGTAAACAAAAAACGCAGAAACCCAATTATACTACTTGATCCCACTGATAGTTCACTATCCCCAAAAATAATATTTTCACTTAACACCAATTGGCAGACGAACGACTGGGTGAAATTGGCGGTTGCGCAAGCGGGTTTGAATCGGCGCTAGCGATCTCATTTTCATGAAATGTTTGTTTATTAGAAAAGCTCTCTGTGGAAATTGAATTTGCTTGAGGAGATTGTCTATCATTATTGAGAGTTGGGGTTTCATGTAGCAACGTGTGATGTCTACCTGAACATGACCTACACCTATCTGAAGCACATTGATTCACAGTGTGTTTTGTGCCCAAATAGTTGAAGCACAATTAATTTTTTGTGATAAAATTTCTTTTTTGTTGTATAGATAGTGAACTGAATTGTGAGCATTTATAAATCGAGTGATTTTTTCCCTTGCAATATATGCATGATTGAACTATCGTTCCCTATCAACAATTTGTGATTCATCTCTGTCTTCAATGTCATCCTGTATCGAACAATAATCATTGAATGCCTTAATTAACATGTATTCTCTGATAACAAATTCATTACTATTGAGATTTTCCCAATTTTCAATTGCAGGAGCGAAGTTCGCATACCACAAAACCCAAATCAATTTATTGCTTTCCAAGATGAATAATCTTCCACAAACACAACAACCCGCTGCAGAAGCAGCCCTCATCGCTCGTGTTTACAGGGGAAACCCCGCAAACCAACGCGATCCCAGCGCTAAGAATACTTGGCGTTTCCGCCCAGCCTCAAAACCTGGCGGCCAAAACCCCAAACCAAGCGTACCCAGTGCGCTTCCACCCCCCACGCAACTCCACAACACTGCCAAAGTGCAGATGTCAAGTGGAAGCCCGTCCGACGGATCAGTGTTTGCAACAGGCATCACTGTGCGAGAGACTGTCCAGAGACAGACTTTCAGCCCATCCACCCCCGCCGCCATTGATATTTCGCGTCAAACG